GAGGAAGACTGTTCTGGTTGTGCTTCAGTTTTGCTGGACTTCAGAGAGGAAAAAAGGCAGGAGTTTTCTGTACATGGGATGAGGAAGCAGAGGTCATACAAGGGAATGAATTGGCTAAATAATGTAGCTGAAGAAACAGGGAACCACAGATTGGCCTACAGTGCCATCCTAAACTGAGCTGCAATCTTCTAAGTCATTACACTCTCCTGTGCCCAGAAGTTCTTCCAAGGAGATCTGTTTTGAGGACATAAAGAATCTAGTTTCCCACCCCTGTGCTGATTGATGGAAATGGAGACAGGATATCATGGACCATAAATTGCTATACGTATTAATGGAGGAGAATTCACATGCTGTGTTCTCACTGGGGTAAAGGCAGATTAAATATCTGCTGCATGGAAGAGGGCAAGAATGTTCTTGAGAGGAAGAGGAAGGAATGTGCAGGAATGTGGTGAGAACAGCTCACAAGAGAATGCAAGGGCTGGCTATCTTCTAAAGACTGAAAATGCCGTCAGGGTGTAGACCACCCACCATGGTAGCAAGCTTCCAGGGAGAGAGAAGAAAAATGTAGCTGAACATGGTCTTCAGGGTTTTTTTGGGGGGAGAGGGGTTGTTTTTAAAGAGGGAATTAATTGCTCAGGTATTGGGGAGGGTTTCTGCATGACATCAGTGAATACTCAAGCATGCAATCTGCTTGTGGCATAAAGGGAAGTTTAACAGCGATAAATACAGAAGTTGCAAGACTCTGCTTGCCTTGTAAATCCAAGCAACACTTGTACAGCTCTTTTGAAGAAACCACAATTAAGTTCTTTCCGCCTTAGCAGACCTCAGAACACTTTGCTGTTGTTGGCATCATTGGAATGCTTGCCTCCAGATGTGGGTGACAGCTGTGAGGCCGGCCGTTCTGCTTCTTTTTCTTTCTTTTTTTCAAAAAACTCCCCTGCTGCAAAGGAATGTTTGCTGCCTTTTCTCTCTGGTAGGATAAAAGTCTTTGGAGTTCCTCTCTTCTCTCCCCCTCCACTGCCCCCCCCCCCATGACTCTGGGAGAAGAATTACCAAGAAATAAGAGCTCCAGGAAATGCATTAACAGGAAAGACCTCGTAGCGCTATAAAGAGCACCGAGTGAACTGTAGGCTGTGAAATATCAGACTATAAAGCCCATCTTTTGCTAATAAGCAACCACAGACTAAAACACCTCTAAACCTGAAATTAATAGGAGAGTCTCTCTTTAAAAGGCTAGGTTGTCTAAGGTTATTCTCCAACGCTTCAGCACTCCCACCGGCAATGCAGTCCTTTGCATGATATTGGTACACTGGTACACAGAGTGATGCATAGACCACAGCCCTAAATGAAACTAGTAGAACTGAATTAAGTGGGATGTGTTCTGAGTAAGCATGTTGAGACTAGGTTGGAATTGGTCTATATGCTGCTCTTGCGTGCAAGTGTTTCCAATGTAATAAAACTATTTCTTCCTGTTCTTGAGGTGGAATGAGGAACTGTCTCTGTTCCAGGCAGCTTGTGAGAAGTGACCTCAAACAGGCCTTCAGAGGATGTAGTTTTATGTTTGTAATGAAGTACTGAAGGATGTGATCTCACGTTATTTGTGCAAAGACAGAATTTGAAACCCCTTGCTGGTCGGGGTGATGGATTTGTGATCTCTCCCATACTGCCCCCTCTGGTTCGAAGAAAGAAGGAGGTACAACCACTTCTGTAAATTGACAGTGACTCAGGCTCTCTACTGGGGTGAGTGAAGTGGCTGGACCTCAAGTTGGCCTGATAGATTCTCAAGACTGGTTCTGTTGGTTTCCTGAGTCAAGACCTGGGCTGGCCCCTCCTGCACAACTCTTGCTCTGTCATTTTGATGTCACTATGTAGGTCACAGGTGCAGCCACTGAGTGGGCTGTGAAGATCACTGATGGTCGTAGGCATACAGTCTTGGCACTTGTCAGACTATCTGCAGATAAGACCAGTCCTTCGAAACCAGGATTAAGATAATGAAACTATTCTTCTGCTTTCAACTAGTACTAGAAATTCCTGTACTTTGTATTTGGGGTAGATGTTTGAAACCACAGAATATGATAATTATAGTCATGCGTTGGCTTTGGTTGAGAGATGGAGATATGCACTTTTAAAAGAAACAGTATCCTAGTTTTTTTAAAAATCAAGACATGTCCACTGTGCATTGTACTAGAAAAGGAGATAATGGCTTCATTTAATGATGCCACTTGGGAGGCACTACCATTTAAGATGCAGTTTAGTTGTCTTTGATAGCAGTATTCCCAAGACATTTCGGTACGCCTTTATTAGTCTCTGGCATACATTTTTAATCCTACTAAACATGTATGTCTTCTTTAAATCATCATGTATGGAGATTCTTGGATGACTTGCATCCTCAATTAACTGAAGTTAACTGAATTAACTGAAGGTCATTGAATTTCATTTTAAGTTTCTCCATTTTGGGGAAGGCAAGGTGACTTTTCTGATCCAACTGAAGAAATTCAGCATCTCAACTAATGTGCTGTATGTGCAGCTGTGGCTCAATTGCAGAGTATGTTTCATAAGCCTGATTTATTTTAGTTGCTTCCCTGAAGGCTTTGCAGTCATTCTAGGGCTGGCCCAATAAAATAGACCAGTGCTATGAAAACTAAAAGGGACCTTGTCACAAAGTAACACTTTGACACAGCTCTACTCTCCTACCAGTCCCATTTTCACAGGCTTGGTCTACACATGTGACCGAGTGAGGTGTCCAGGTGCTGAGGTGGTGGACTTGAGGTTGTAGGCATCTCAAGGGGAGGCTGCCTTGATGAGCTTCTTGTAATACATGAGGACACTTTTTATAAAGTGCTGCCCTCCCCTCATTGGCAACCTGACTTTGTACTCTGCTTATCCACCTTGGGATTCCACTTCCTCCTCCTCCTCCTCCTGCTCCTCAAGCTCTGTTTCTGGAGAGGAAGCAGAAATGCAGCATGGGATGAGTGAGCAGGAGTGCTGGCTTGTTTGTGTGCCATAGGTAGACTTGCAGGCTCAGCTGCTCCAGGCCACAAAAACCCAGCTGTTTTGTGCAACTCATGATCCCCGCTTGGCCACCTGTGGTGTACAGCAACAGAATGGAGAGGCCCAGCCTTCCCAGGAAGGGAATTATGTCCAAAACCCTTCTCTGTGGACAAAGTTGTACATTATAAACACATCTGATTGAATTAAAAAATTGTTTACATTTTCTTTCTGAAAATGGCTGCCAGATTTAGCACTGCTCAGTATTCTCTTCCTTTCTTAGTATCTGTAGCATAATGTGCTATAAATGGTATCTGATAATCCTATTGCAATAAGTGATTTTTTTTAGGTTGATGAATTCCAGGTAGTATTTTCTTCTGGCAGTTTAAAGCTGTATATCATGGAAACCATACAGACCATTTATCTGTGTTTGGTGTCCATTAAGTATATCCAATCCTGAGGCATATTTTTTTCTCCATTAAAAGGGCCCTTTTAAAAATCTTACTGAAACTTCATGGTTCCGTGAACCATCTGTGGTCCTGACCATCATCTAACTAAGCTTATTACACTGTACTAACCATAAAATTGAGGAAGCTTGGGCAGTGTTGACTTCAGCTGAAGAGTATCAACAGGAGCCCAAGTCCTGTTAGTGTGTCATTAAAGCTAGCAGAGTGTCCAAACCCATAGGCTTGACTCTTATTTCTGATGCTCACTCTAGAATGGTTCCTAGGTCAGGTGCTTTGCCCCTGAAGGATTCCATAAACATCCCAATATTTTGGTATACTCTTATCATTGGACAGTTGCTCAGATTTTACT